TGTGACCGTATTCCTGGTTGGTCTAAATCCCACTGTGAGTGTTATTTTTTTTTAACAGTTTTAAATGTAATTTGTTCAATAATTTACTGTCATTTTACATGTTTTTCCTGTTTAGTGAAATTACAGATAATAGCTAGTAAAATAACTGAATATACATATATTATTTTACATGGTAACTGTAATTTAAAAAAAACTGGCAAAAACTGTAAATAATGTCCACATCAAAAAATCTGTATTTTTACATATTCATGCAGGTACAACATTTGATCATAAAATTACACGATTATTTTTACTGTCTTTAAATCAGCAAAAATAATATATTATTTTACAGATATTTGACACAAGTTGAAAGATAAAAATGTGTAATGAGGACTGAAAAAGAGTAATTTTAAATGTATTTAACTGTCTTACCCTCCAGCCCCTTTATGTATTACAGACAAGTGCTGTTATTTTCACCATATCTACAGGTTTTAAAAGTTACTCAGTCATTTTTTAAAATGTATTTCCCCCTTTATCCAGTTCCCCTTTCCTACGGGGATCAAAAGAGTAACAGAAGTAAAGTAGGTGCACAGATGAATAAGTTGGAAGAGGACGACTACAATGATTCTGTAGCAAGGTTCACTTCTAGCAATGTAAACGCCAGGCCATCTGTTATTCTTGTTGCCACGACAAAACACTTCTAGCTTGATTATACAGCTTCTAATGGGAGATTGTTTGGCATAGACACCTTGCACTGTTGTAGATGATGTAGTTCTGATCATTATAAGCATAATTAACTTCCCTGGCCTCACAACGGGGTCATAAACGTGGAATGTTACGGGTTGGGATTTGTGAGGACTAGGAAGTCATCAGTGTGGGAGAAGACTATGATTATCTTCCAGACTTTGGGAAAACAGAGTTCTGAGAATCTCTTAAGGCAGCGGTGTCAGTTTAGTGTGTCAACGTAAATAGAAAAAAAGAAAAACAAGATGTACGCTGGCAGATTCGCACAATCAATCTCCCTCATGCTGAATTTCATTAGTTGACTGTTTCCCTCCAATGAGAGGACAAAATAAGGACTGTGTCATTGGCTTCCGAGGCTGAATAGTTTGCGGGCCCAGCTGGTCACTCACATGGGAGAGAATTAAAGGCTAAAAATGGAAGCAATTTTCTTCCAAGATTAGCCTGTGAGGAAACTAAGAAAGATGAGTTTAATGAAGCTTTATGCCACTAAATTTACCCATTCAGTAGTTTGGCGGCGGATTCTGTCTTAATTGTTATTTGGTGTTAAAGTCTCTTAAGTTTTGATTAACACACAGGCTTGTAATGACTTTGCAAAAGAGCAGAAAAAGGGGGAAAAAAAGCAAGAAAAGATGAGAAGCATAATAAATTCCCCGTACTGTGCAGAGATGATTCTGAGAAAAGAGATTATTATTGCGCTGATAAAAAGATTTCCACGAGTCGGTTATGTATTGTGTTTCTCTGGAACTGTCTTTTGCTGATTGAAAGCCTAAAGAAAATGAAAATACAGCATTGTTTATAGATTTTCTCATTGTTTACGAAAGAGAGCCATCTACTGGAGAACAGCCTATATTGAACTATTGATGTAAATTGCAGTCTGTTTTTTTTGTTTTTTGTTTTTTTGGTAAGTACATGAAATTAACACTTTAAGCAAAAACCAAAGACAGAACATACTGTGCTTTCCATCAAGGCTCCACAGTCCTTGCCCCAAATATCCGTAGCCCTGGTTCAGCCATAACTGTGTCTCAAACGTTTGAATAACTGGCTTTATATTCTTGCCAGTCCATTACCAGCCCACAATGCCCTTGGCTCCTGGTTTTTCTAATAAAATGGGAATGAAGGATTGGCAGTTTGCAATAGATGATGTGACAGCAAACAGTAGTTTGAAGGTCACTGTGATGGAAATGTGTTGTAACACACTTAGAACCCCAAAGTCTTACATGGTACATGTCATTCAGTCCAGGTAATGGGCAATATTGTGGCACTTGTCGATGTATGAAGAGTCCACATGAGCAAACCGACGTAAGTCTGTATGGCTCTATATGGCCCCTATATTGGTTCATCCTAGCACTATAAATAAAAGGGAAATGGCTGTAAAATATTAACAATGTGACAACACAGCGCCTTTATGATTCAGACGGCGTCTCTCTCTCCCCATCACAGCTTTTGTCTCATTTCAATTGTGAAGTCTGAGACAAAAAAAAAAAAAAACCTCAAAAACAATTTATCACACATACTGTTGCCCCTCTTTTTTCTCCCCTCTGGCTCATTTCCCCAAATAATTTTGGATCTACTGCCAAAGATGTTGGTGATGTGTTTGGAAAAATAAGCATCTTTTCAAGGTGATGATGACCCTCACTGAGAAAAGGAAGGGGAGCCTCTGAAATCCTATTATCCAGAGGGCCTGCCTTATTTTATTGCCATCAGCAGTGTTGGCCCGTCAGCAGCATGGCAACTGTTTCCAACAATTGCTCCTGCACTAATTCTATCTGTAGCCAGACTTGCCAGGGTGTGGACATTAGGCTCACTTTTCATCTAAAAGTGAAAGCGTAATGTCTGACTGAGGAAACGTGGATGTTAACGTATTAATGCCACAATAAAAGGAAACAAAATGTGATATGCATGAAGTATACAAAACATTCATTCCAACACACATGTAAAACATGTGCTTGTTTCGCTTCATTTTAGTAAAAACACCCAAGAGTTAAGACTTGAAAGTGTTAATTAATAGGGTGGGTGCATTTTAAAATCTGCCTGCTCACATCAGCAAATATCCACATAGACAACAAAGGAAAATGTAAAATTCAGGAAATACATGAAAGACATCACTACAATAAGAATATTTAATGACTGAGAGTTATTAATAATTAATATTACAGTAATTTGGATACTTTAAGTTGGAAGGGACCGGCAAAGTGATGAAATCAGCTATGAGAGAGGATGGCGAAGATACCATGTGAGTTTTAAGGTATTTTAGGCCAAATCTAAGAAAGCATCACAGATGGATGAATGGCAACATCCTGCAATCTTCTCATCTTAAACATGAACGTAGAGTTTCAACATAGAAATAACACGTAGTGTAAATGGACCGTTAGATTCGGTGCTCTATTCAAATATCCTCTTACAGTGTGTTCAAAAATGACTTGAGTTACTTTGTGTCATGGTGGAGCTCCATTATGGTATAAAGCTGATCTAAAAAAAAAAAAAAAAAAAGGTGCTGCTAAAACCTTGCCCAGGTTCATGTTATCCAATATACATTCTACATTCTACATACATTCTGGTAGCACTGTGCCTCGCAGCAAGAAGGTCGCCGGTTCACAGAAAGATCCCAGTGCCCCCACTGGGATCTTTCTGTTTGGAGTTTGCATGTTCTCCCCGTGCAGCGTGGGTTCTCTCCAGGTTCTCCGGCTTCCTCCCACAAGTCTAAAAACATGTTGAGGTTAATCGGTGATTCTAAATTGTCCGTAGGTGTGAATGTGAGTGTGCTTGGTTGTCTGTCTCTAAGTGTACCCCTGTGATAGACTGGTGACCTGTTCAGGGTGTCCCCTGCCTTCACCCTGAGTTAGCTGGGATAGACTCCAGCCCCCCGTGACCCTAGTGAGGCTTAAGTGGTGTATAGATGATGGATGGATGGATGGATTCTACAAGGGACAGAGATTTACTTTGTTTTCACCATGATACAGATCTGCATGGGTAGGCCTCAGACTCACATTCCAACAAAATGGTGTTGTTTTTTAAAATTTACTTCTTTAATTCTGCGCTCCACAAAATATTTTAGAAAAACAGCATCTTGAAGAAGGTCATTTCAGCACCTTGAACAGAATGTCTCAAGTTGTTTTCTTAAAAAAAATGTTATTTTCCCTCTTTTAGTTTTGGGTATACAGAGTATAATAAGTACACAGCATGTGTCCAAACAGCTCGAGTGTGTCACTAGAATAATTATAGACTGACTAATTATAATACTATTAGAATCAATTAATGAGCTGGTGCAAAAACTATCAGTGTAGCATTCATTAAATGTACATTTAAAACATTAAGAATGTGGAATTTAGACAGCTTTCAGTAATAACAAAACTATAATTAAATGTTCCCATTTTTATTTTTATTCCATCTGTTTCTCTTTATGATGCAGAGACATTACTCGTTAATTATTAATCAGATTTGTAAAATTATTTTTACAAAGTTATGATGCAATGTAAAAATAAAGCCAAAAGCTGCAGTATCTTAATTGGTCACTTGAGACTAGTTTCCAAAAATGAGTCAATCCTCATATAGACTCCCATTAAAAAAATCTATCTTTACAGTAGAAACAAACATGTTTAGAGCCACATATGAAACACAGTTTTAGTCACTAATGCCAATTTCCCTTTCATAACTGTGCAAGAGGTGGATTTTTATATAACTCAGCTGCTTAAATTATTTTAAGCCTTACAGTTGTGGGTGCTGTCTGAGGACAGTTACATGGCCCGGAGACATTTGCATAGCCGGCCACAGCTCTGCTCACGCTGTGTCTTTGCTCATTTTTGTATGAACCAGGAGTTCGGAGTCGGTCTCTGCCAAAAGGGCGATGGTCAGAGCCACTACACTGAACCTTTCAAAAAATCTATAGATGACAGTACAGACGGTTTGTCCATCTTTAAGTCAATGGTGTGGACTAAACCTCTCAATAAAAAAAAACAAAAAAAAACATAAGGCACAAGTATTATAAAATAAGAAATGAGAGGTAGACAAACAGCATCTATTAACTGGTAGAAGACACAGAAAATATACATTTCTAAAAAGGTACAGTACCATACAGTAGGTTTTGAGCTACAATATTCACTTACAAAACAAAAATGAACACTTTCACAACCTGCTGTTACAGAGTGTGGCGCAGCTCTGCGGCTGACCCAGTCTTTCACCTGACAATTTCCCACAAGTTGGACAGCGGCGATGAGCAACCTCAAATATTGAATGTGAAATCTCGCCTTTGATGGAGCAACAACAGAAGAATGGCAGGATCAGTAATCTCTGCCAAAATGCTTGTTGACACTGTAAACGCTCAAATAGACGACTAAACTGACGAGGACAAAGTGCTGCTGGTCCTTTAACCGTACGAGCTCCATCTTCACCTGACTGTCTGAGTCCTGGTGGTGGATCAGGTAGTGCTCACCGTCATAGTCATAAGAAACGGGCGTCTTTTCCAGCGTCATGGCCACGGGAGAAGTGACACAGGTGAAGGGTTTCTTGAATTCATCCAGCAGGGTTAGACTCATGATGCAGCAATTCTGGCAAGAAGGAAACATTTAAACACGTCTTCTCTGTGTGGATTGTTATTGTTGTAATTTTATTGTGGGTCTACTAATAAAAAAATAGTCACATCGCATTATGTCATTCTTTTCCAGCTTGAAAATGTTTATTCAGCCTCTGTCACCTGTAGTCATAACTGTCAAAATGCATGCTAATATGAGCAACTTTAAGTATGTTCTTTTTCCCTTGAAAAACAGAAATGATTTAAGCAGTGCTGTGTTGTTGGCATGCATTTCTTTCTTTCTTAAACATAGATTAAAACAGTGTGGAAGAAGCATATAATACATATCATACCTCCACTGCTCCCTGCAGGGCCTCACACTGCCAGCACAGGGTGGTGCTGCAAGACAGACGAGTGTGCTGCGACAAGTTTGTACTGCTGATGGCAGTAAGCTGGATCAGTCCATCTGAGATCTGAGCTGGTTAAAGACAACAACACACAAGTAAGCCTTTACACAATGAAACACAATGTTGCATGATTAGTTTAAGCTAAAAATCTGTGAGCATCAGGGTGTTGCCAAGTTTCAGAAAATCATGAGATGCAGTTTTGTATCACCTGAATTAAAATCTATGAGCAACAACCTTCGAACACTGTAAATATTTTAGTGAACAAAGCTAAGAAAGGTTATTAAACATTTCAAAGATCCAAAGGCATTCGCAACATATGCGATGTGAAAAAAGGGTAAAAAATACAACTATACATGTAATATTTAGTACTGATGTGATGGAGTGTGTAGTATCCCAGTGTATAGGTGAGTTGTTCAATTTTTCAAAATATAAAAAATTAAAATGTGCATACAGTTTGTCACAGATACTAGGAAACTATATGTAGACATTTTGTATGCTTAGGCCTGCATGGTGGCTGAGTGGTTGACACCATTGCCTAAGCTAGAAAATCCCCAGTTTGCATCCTGGTTAGGACACCCGGGATCTTTCTGCGTGGAGTTTGCATGTTCTCCCTGTGCAGCGTGGGTTCTCTCCGGGTTCACCGGCTTCCTCCCACACAGTCCAAAAAACATGTTGAGGTTAATTGGTGATTCTAAATTGTCCGTAGGCGTGAATGTGAGTGTGCTTGTTTGTCTCTCTGTGTAGCCCTGTGATAGACTGGTGACTTGTCCAGGGTGTCCCCTGCCTTCGCCCTAAGTCGGCTGGGATAGACTCCAGCCCCCTGCGACTCTAGTGAGGATTAAGCGGTATATAGATAATGGATGGATGGATGGATGTATACGCTAAAGAGCAAATACACGAATATGGCTACAGAAGCTTTGTATTCATCAATTCGCAGTATGAGAGATTATTAAGAGATTTTTTAAAAATAGAATAAATTAATACAAGTTTTTCAACCTGTTCTGTCTTCACCTAAAAGATATAATGCATGTGACTCACACGTATTTTATCCAGAGCAACATTTTTAAACGGTCCACACAATACTCTGATGCATGTCTTGCCTGCATCATTCACTTTGTGACTGAGTGATTATGAGTATAAACAGATTACTTCTTCGGCAGAAGAGCTGGGAGAAGCTTCCGGACATGAGCTTGCATACGGTGTTGTGGAGAACAATGTGTAGTTGGTATCCATGGAGACCGCATTCAGGGTCTATGTCATCGAAAGGAGGCTTGACCACTGGCTCCACAAAGGGACTGGAGAAAGAAAAGCATAAGAGTAAATTAAAGTACAGTGAGTGACAGGAACATTAAGAAAAGAAGGCATTTTATTAGGGAGGCATCTAACAGGTTAATTTACTTTTGTGGACTGCAGTCATAATATACTGTAACTGTACTGTGCTCTCATCAGAAACCAGGAGAGGGGGCTATAGCCACGCTGTGCTGAGGTGCAAGACTTGCAATAGATAAAGCAGCATCAGGAATCTTTTGTTGGATTATCAATGAAGCACTTCCAAGACCACAATATGACATAACCTGGATTAGTTTTTATTTTCAGATAGATGGAAAATAAAATACTGAATGGTTTGAGCTAAAGCTTTCCAACCCTTTTTCCTTATGAGCCTTTAAGATGAGGTCTAATGGTGATTGTGCTCATGGCCTGAATATGACAAGAGTTGTGAGCAGTTTAGCTTTCATTCTCAAACTGTTATAGGTTGGTAACCAGCGATCTATCCCAATGATTTTTAATTCAAACTTAACAAAACAGAAGTAAATATCTTCAAACATTTATTCACCTGCTCTCTGTTTTAAGATCTGTGAATGAGTAAATTCAATTGCCATTGTGTCTGGCTAGAATTCAAACCCGCATTTTGCTGCGTCCTCGTGGGAAATTACTAAAGAAAGCTCACTGGTGTAACTGGTCCTGACACATGACAAGAATAACATTCTTTACGTTAAACCCCGACAGAGTGGCATTATTCACCGCTCTGGAGAAACACAAGTGCCGGTGATGCTGACGTGTCAAATCTCACCCCGCAGTGCTTCATACGTGGGTCACAATAGGAGCATCAAGTGAAATCTGTCAGTTATCACGGCCTTTCAATTTGAGCCATAACCATCTGATGGTGATACACGGCACACCGTGTGAACATGTGAGTAAGCGTCGTGTGGTCAAGCGCCACCTACCAAACAGATGATCCCTGAGTGCTTCTTTCCACCAGCTTGTGGAAGTGGAGGGTGAACATGATGAAGGCAACGGAGCTCTGGTCCTGCAAAAAGAGCCATCATTTAAATTCCTTGTAATTTCTCCTGCTGAATCATTTATTCTGGGATTTAAAAAAAAAAAAAAGTACCCATCACACTTGCTCAGCTGGAATAAGCTAATGAATAATAATTTCAAAATGCCATGGTTGCTGGTGAAGTAATTACCCTCCAGACACCGATGATGATGCCAGGCTGTAGCAACTGCAGCTGCACCAGTCTGTCCTGGCCAATGACCTGCGCGCTTTTAGTTAGAGCCTGCATGTCTAACTTTGCCATGAGGGACCTCCAGCCAGGTCTGACGGAGCAAAGCAAAGAAAACTGTTGGTTTTACTGAGAGAAGAGGAGACAGAGACACAGAGAGAGGGCGTAGAGGGGATGCTGGCTGTCTTTACTTCTTTAGGCCGGGGCAGTTGAGGGCTATCCTCCTGACGCCGTGAAGTTGAAGGGTGGAAATCTGCTGGTAGCTGGGCAAGTAGCATCCCGCGCTCCAGCACAGTGTCACAGAAGTCTCGAAGAACTGGGACCGGCTCAGCTCCAAAGTGCTCTCATGCCCTGACTTATCAGTGACCGTCAGTTCCCAGGTGATGTCCAAGTTTCTAGAGGAAGAAAACACAAAATTACAACAGTGCGACTTGCTTCTTGGGGAGGCTGCAAATAAAGCATGCTAGCCGTATTGCGATAGGAGGGAGAGAGCGCTTCAGAGCTTAGCTGCTGGTTCAAACACGAGCTAAGCTGAAATTAACAGGCTCTCTCCTTTTGAGCGGGTAATGGCTCTGTTTATGCTCCTTAATGGCCATGTGAAGACAACAATTGAATTACTGAACAAATATCTAATCCTCTATCCATTTATTTGAATTTAATACAATTGAAATAATTGGGCGGTGTTTGGAAAAGCTGACTGTTGCTTTTTAAATCAGGAAAATTATGAGTTTAATGACTGTTAGATTTCTTTTGTCAGCAGTAGGGAGGAGTATGACTCCATTTAAGCTGTTCTTGCTAATGAAATGATATGCAACGAATGAAATGAAACCGCAGCTGTTGTGATAAATCTCTTGATCCAATTCTGTCTAAACTGTGATTCAGGGCTGCCCCTACTGTGATGCAGCCGGTGTCTCGCTGAGGCGCCATCCAATATCAATTAAGTGGAGGAACAAAGCTAAAAACTGGAGCAGCCCAGGAGGCCTCAGATGACCCAGGGGATTTTACTCTGCACCGTCTCTATGTGTGATGTCTTGTGAAATGATTATTACCAAGGTAAATCGCATGCTCCTCAGTGTCTCTAACAGACAAACCCCCCATAGGGAATTGTCTGAGCTGGTGGGAGGAGGCAGGAAGGGGAAGGTGTGCGTGCGCGTGTGTGTGTGTGTGTGTGTGTGTGTGTGTGTGTGTGTGTGTTGTGGATGAGGGGTTGGAGGGCTAAGCAATTTATTTCAACAATTCAGACAGCCTCTGCAAGGAACACAATTATTTCTACTTCCCCCTCTGTACCACAGCGACTGCCACAGAACTCAAAATTGAGTGCTGCACAGTCTCTAATCAGAGGTTATAAAAACACAGCAGAAACCGCCGTGGAGGTGGTGAGGGAGCTTTCCCGCGCGTGCTGGCATCCCCCTGAGCAGACATCACGTTCAGACAGAGACCTCCTTGCTCACCTTTAATAAGAAAGTGTCATTAAGTGCGATATGAAAAACAAACCATACTTTGCTTTTGATTGCCAGCAGCTTGAACTGTCCTCTACTCTCTACCCTTGAACTTTCTCGACAGCGAGGGCAGATCTCCAAAGTTTTACTGTTTGCTAACCACAAACAGTGGACGGACACTTTACAGAGCTCCTTCCAGCTGAAAAAGAAGCTACTGAACAGATGGCAAATGCAGATTACAGCATGGTGCAGACGGCCGCTTTAACAAGAATAAAATGAATTTATTCAGGATTTCCCATAGAAATAAGGAGGTAAGAGGTTCAAATGCTTGAAAACTGTCATGCTAAGCACTCGATTACCTTAACCAACAAGCAGCACTTGTCGTGTCACTCAAGTGTGAGGTAGGCAAAGTCAAGTGGCAGGTACATTAAAACAAACACCACACCTCCTGCACTTCATCTAAACTGCTTTCCAAATGCCGCTTTTGCTTCGCTCCATCTAGTACTGCACCTGAGGACCTGTTCTGTTTGGCTGGGTAACCCAGTGTAACGGCTGATGTGTCCAAGATGTCTTTTCCACTTGTTCATGTCACGTGCGGCTACAGTCTTGAAGTACAGCCATTTCCAGTAGCCTGCAGCTCCATCCTCCATCCTCAGCAGCAGCTCGTCAATGCACTTGGGTTCCCGCTTTTTCTTCTTGCCAAGCTCCGCTATGTATATCTTCTTCCACAGAGCGCTGCGTTGATGGTATTGGAAGGCAGAGAGAAGTGACAGACTGTGCTTAGTGAACACAACTGAAGAAAGGTAATTAACAAGTGACTGAATTACACAAAAGTCCCTAAAAACCCATCGCAGTGTTTCAAAGTTGCACAAATATGTCACGTATTGTTGACTGCTTATTTGGCTAATGATATGTTGTCTAGCATACTAAAGACACTACATTGGCATGTTAGCAAACTTGATTTTCACTGAAAGGTGTATTTAAACATATGTGGTATGCTCATTTGTAAGTAGTCATTCTAAAACAACAAAATGATTCTTGTTCTTGAATGGATATTTTCTTTAAGTTCCCCTTCAGCCATTGATTAAACTCCTAAAAACTCATCTCTGTGTATCAGAATTACATATTTGGACCATTTTTTCTCATGTAAATAATTTGTTTGTGCGTTAGAATGACTTCAATGTACACTCCTGACTGCTTATTCTGCTTATGATATATCTTCTAGCACATAAAAAAGGAAGAAAACTTTTATCAGAAGGGGCCTTAAGTGTAACGGAAACTTTGCTCTGAACAGTTTAACAATAGACTGTGATCTGTTGCATGTTAATAAATTGACTTTGTTGGAGGTAGAACAATTTGTGGGTAACTGATTTGTCCACTGACAGAACATTGGTCATTAAAAAAGTCAAAACTTCTTCAAATGTGGAAATTTAGTTTTCTTGGACAGTAATTGGCAGACATTTGGTTTTATCGTTGTTAGTCTGACAAAGCAGTCCATTTAAAAGGGTCAGCTTTGGCTCTGGGAAGCTGTGAATAGACTTTTGGATTTCAGCCAAAAACAATTAATAAATTAGTGATAAACCTATAACAGAAAGAATTGCTGTCTGCAACACAACATACTTGTGTTTTTAAAATACCGCTTACGCTTATCTTGCACCGACAAGCCCCGGTTGATACTTACTTATCGTTGGCAAGCTGATGGAAAAGTTTATTGACGTGGCTGATGCTGAAAAGTGCGGAGGCATCCAGGTATGACAGAATCTTAATCAGGATCTCAGATGGCAGTCTACGGAAAAGGTAATTAGACATCACTACAAGGAAGTGACACCAGTGTCTTCACGCCTCCTGTTGTTCAGTTTGCAGACTATGAGACAAATGTGTGCTAAACAAGATACTTGGCAATCTTATCATACACTCCTGGTGATAAAATGAAATTACCTATGTTGATCATTTAGTAGATATTGTAAAACAAAGTGTGAATAACTGAGGTTTTCCAAAGCACTCAAACAAGATTTAATTATATAAATACGAATCGCAATTAAAATGATATTTAAAAAAAAAAAAAAAAAAAGACACTGTTTTCAATTTGGAGATGTCATCCATTTCTGTTAATGAGAAATATTGATCAGGTTTGTCTGGTTGCACCTGTCCTGGTTAATGATGCCACTGCTGCCCAATTAAACCACTTCAGTGAGCAATATTCCTGTTCTAATTAGCTGCCTGGTCTATCACTGACATATCAAAAATCAGATGAAACTACTCCAAGAACAAGATACCGAGTGAATAAATCATATTTGTTGGTGTTTTAACAAGGGGAACGATACATATTCCAGCTTTAAAGTTCAAATTATTCAATTAATTGATTTCTCGCTGACACATGAAGCTACAAACATGCAGAGGTGTTGATTTTTTTGTAAATTCTGGCATTTGTAATAGTGTTGAAAGTGGACAGGATGGATAGGAGTGGCGATAACGCAAGTCGCACTATACTGCCAGTATAGGCCTCATGATATCAACAACCCCTCATCAGCAACAGTTTGATAAATGCTAATTGTTTTGCAAACTAAAATACAGTGTTGAGTCTACAGCCATGGCAGTAGGTCTTTGAGGCAGTAGTTAGGCACAACGATGGTTGTAGCTGTATGCTAACATCAGCACGCTCATGTGCTTGCATTGGAATGCTAATGTGCTGATGTTAAGTAGGTATACTATGTTCAGCATTTTAATTTAGAGTGTTGGCATGCTAATGTTTGCTGATTAGCAGTAAACACAAAGTGCAGCTGAGGCTGAAGGGAATGTTGAACCAGTATTTAATGAGAGATCAGAGGAAAGACACTGAAATTTTGACCCGACGATGCCACTAGATATCTAGAAGGGGGTCAAGAGTTGTGACAAGGGATCCTCTGAGGGAATAGTGCTACAGACAGAATGCCTGTAGCTGTAATCTAAACTATATATTACAGTAATGTGCCAGGGCAACTGAGTTGAGAGTACAAAAAAGAAAAAAAACTTTTAGCGAGAATCTTTAAATAATAATATGGTAAACATGAATAAATAGATCATTTGCTGACTTATGTATCAGCTACATGAAGATTTTTTATGAAAATCGCTTCCTGCCTTAACATGTCTTGGATGTAACTCAGCAACATTGCTTACTCTAGAATATGTGTTTCTCCAGTACTTGCTGCAGCTCATGCACACCAGCTCATGCATGACTCTGTTCAGACACTATAAAGCTACTCTATGCGACGCAATGACAAGTTGTGATATGGAGCAATTCCGTGATGCATGTTTAAACCAGGGCTGCAGGGTGGTGCAGTTGGTAGCACTGTTGCCTCGCAGCAACAAGGTTGCCGGTTCACGTCCCAGTGGGGGCACCGGAATCTTTCTGCATGGAGTTTGCATGTTCTCCCCGTGCAGCGTGGGTTCTCTCCGGGTTCTCCGGCTTCCTCCCACACAGTCCAAAAAACATGTTGAGGTTAATTGGTGATTCTAAACTGTCTGTAGGTGTGAATGTGAGTGTGCCTGTTTGTCTGTCTCTAAGTGTGGCCCTGTGATAGACTGGTGACCTGTCCAGGGTGTCCCCTGCCTTCGCCCTAAGTCAGCTGGGATAGACTCCAGCCCCCCCACGACCCTCGTGAGGATTAAGCGGTGTATAGATAATGGATGGATGGATGTTTAAATCAGAAAATAATTGATAAGAAAAGTCCCGCCTTGCAAGTTGACAGGATTTGTGCCTTTACTTTGTTGTGAAGCCACTTAGGTCTGAATCTGAGTCATTGGTACACTGCAGTATCAAAGTACAAATGCTCAGCCATAGCGTTCACTGTTTCGCTCATGATGTGTTCCTACCCCTATTGCATGCACATGTAAAAAGGTTGCTTCCCCAAAATAAATGACACAAAAGAGAAGAGAGGAGAAAATCACACCTAAATGAGTGTTGACTCAGCGGGGATAATAGTAAATGAGAAAGCATTTATTCTCCTCTACAGGAGAATAAATGTTAGAAATCAATACAGAATGCCTGAGAGCCTCGCTGCATTATACTCCATTATATTTTGAACTGTTGCCAGCAAATTGGTGCCGAAAAATTCACCAGAGCACAGGAAATGAAGTGCCTGACACTCAAAATATCCTGCTGGAAGACCCACAGACCCCGGTCTTTTATTTTATTTTATTTTTCAAATATATATATAAGAGGATGGGGGAAAAAAACGACAGAAAGAGTAGGAATAATTGGTTCTGAATTTAGGAGTGCAACAGTCTGCTGCCTGTCTAACCTGGTGTTTTACTGCTGGATCACCGCCTACATTCAACTGGAAAGAATCAAATAGCTTCATTTGAACATGTAGTGAAGTGTCTTCCACCTGCATTGATTGCTGTTGTGTTGTTATTGTGTTTTGCTGCGATAAATCTTCTTACTTAGAGGGCTGTAAAGCTTTGACTTGCCACCGTTTGTGAACGCAGCCTGGCTAAGGTGCTGAATGCCACACAGGTAGAAAAAAAAATATATATAAGAGCTTGTTCTGACAGATTACCTTTCCATAAAGTTCCGAGTGGACGCTGGAAGTGATTTGTCAGCCCTTTTGGACGTCCTTATCCCCCGCAATCTGGAAACGGCTGCTTTCGGCGCTGCCATTTGTTTTCACTTGTGACAGGTTCGAGGAAGTTTTGAGGCCGTGTAACGTTAAAAGCCTCGTTTGTTTGACAGCGGCGTTTTTGCTAACATTTAAGTATAACGTTATAAATCCCCAAACTTCATAAGTCAACTAAATAAATGGCGTTTTTTTCTACTTTTTTGTAGCCGGAAGCGCAACTGTAGTAGCCTTCCTACCCTGTCCGCGTGCTGTTGCCATGGTGACATCAAGTTCCTTTCACGAGGAGCGGCACATGCGCGTTCACGATAGAAGCAGCGAAAAATTACAATTTTAATCAAAGACTGTATACTGGTTTATTTTTTAATTTCCTCAGTATACAGTCTGTAATTTCTACTCAAATATAAAAATCCAGTTTTATCACGATTCATTTATAATAATAGCTTTTGTACTGTTAGCCTGGTTTTCAAGGCATTGAGGTAAATGTCCATGTGGTGTTTTGAGGTTGTTATAGAGGTATAAACTAAAAGCATTCCCACAACTAGAGAGCCTTCCAGCTTTACAAGTTAGGAAGAATTTGACTAAAGTGTTACAACAACTACCAAAACAAACCAACACTCATCCAGCTCAGACTTTATATAACCCTGCCCCCTCACTGTACACTCACTCCAGGTGAGCCGATCACAAACAGCAACCACCACCAGGTTGGTTAGAGCTGCTTCTACCAACTCTAAAGTGTCTCAGCAACGCACGCCCCATGTTCTGCTGTTAGCTGCAAGAGTGAACACAAGTGTCTTCATGCACTCCCAGCATCGGAGGAACTGAGGAGCCAGTGGATTACTTTTTTTTTTATGGCAGTGTTTCCTCAATAATAGGATTCTTAGTGTTAATGTACTGTGCAGCTAATATAGCATTATGTTTACCTTTGATCCTATGCCCACAGGTCAGAGCTATGTGGACATTGTAAAGCTGACGGTCACTCAGTGATGATGGAAACTTTACAAGGAGCTTGAAACCAATAAGCAAGGACTGTGTGGGGGTAAAATGTTTCCAAATCTCCAGATGTGCTTCACTGCAAACTAAACTCATCAGTTTGTGTCTTTCCTGCTTTCTGTGTTCACATGCCCTGCATATTAATGGAGCTAAATTTCAAATAAAACTGTTTATTTATTTGCATATTTTTCTGTTTGTGTTGTCAGACAACAGAACAATGATATAGGGACTGAAACAAAGCCCTTTAAGACTAAATGCTAACCAGCAGTCACTTCTGAGACACTTTCAGGTTGATTTTTAAAAGGCAACATCTAACAAATTCACCATCCACATGAGCTAATGTGCTATTAATTTGTTTATTTTTCTCTATGCTGTCTATCAGATGCAGAGTTTACTTACTGAAGGGGGCAGAGACAGCAGCAGGTCGGTGTTTCCAGAGCTTCAGACAACCCATTTAGAACATGGTTGAAACCAGGGGTTATGCAGTGATTGTGAAATGAGCCATCTTCTTGCTATTTTGACCTGAAAAACAGAAATATACACTGCTGGGATTTTCATGGATTCAGGGATTTACAACTGACCATACACTGTGTGTTAAAGATGGACACAGCCTCTGGGTCTGAAAAGTGAAGCCAACGTAAAAGGACCCAACAGCCAATAGAGGGCGACTCCTCTGGGTGCAAAAAGAAGTCTGATTGTATCAAAGTGTACAAAAAAGTTATCATGCGTATCATACTTCTGCAAACATTTTCTTTACAAGTTTTTGGACTCAATTGCTGGTTTGAAGGCTTTTCTTTTAATGCAGTGTGATGCTCGTATTATAAGTTATGATCCCATTTATAGCAAAATAGATGAAAAAGCAGTGTTTGTTTTAGGCTGTGGCTACCTTGTGATTGACAGGCGACTACAACTCTTTGAAGGAAGCCAGATCTTACTTATGGTTGCTTTCCTTTCCAAGAGCCATTCAAAAGAACAGCTCATCGTTTTTGGCTGGACTTCAGCAGTGTGGACAGCCATATAAACACATGTGTTTTTCCCTTTCTAACTGGCTGACTGAGTCTGGTGTACCCAGATGCAGCCGCAGCACGATCGTGAATGGAGTGTGTTGTGGGGTTAAGGTCAGGGTAAGGATTGGGAGGGCTGTTTGGAGAGCAGTGTGCAGATGGTTTGTCTGGACCCTTGTTGGCCGAATAAGTGATGAGTGCTGGACTTTTCCCATTGGCCACTGCTCTTTTCAAAATAAATCTGCATGGACAGTGCAGCTCATTGCAATACCCGGTCTATCACATAGCTGACATGTGAGGTGCTTCAAACCTCTGGCCAGTTGTCCCTGGCTAACAAGACAGCCTCCAATCTAAATGAATGGTGAGGGAGCCATACCGGCAATTTTAAGAAGCACCAGGAAATAATGGTATTAATAGAATTAGCAGTCAGTTGTGACAAAAAAATGCATAGAAAGTTTGGTGACTTTGCCCAAAAATAACATTTAGAAATCTTTTTTCCTTGCAGATTATACTTCTGTTTTATGCCGCTGCTGTTCCATCAGTGCAACAACACAGTTGGCTGATATGATTCCTGGTTTGGTTGTTGTAAAGCATGTGACTGGCTTTTCGAGGGAGGGGCGGGATATGCATCATGCAAACGCCACCTTTGACATGACAGTATTCTCTCATAGATTTTCTGGATTCTTGAAATGGCAAATCTTTACTTTAAATGTTTGTGTGTGTTTAGGGAACATCTGTAAATTGCAGTGTCCACTCATTTTCTGCTGCTTTTAGTGTTTGCAACTGTAGTTACAGAAACCAACATGGGTTAAACTCTCCCCTTCTAATCTGTATAAGTCTCTGAATGCACATCGGTCACAGCATCCACCATCAGTAAATTCTTACTCTTTGGAAAACACTGCAGTTAAATTCAGGCACAACCATAAAAGAATGGGTCTCTAGCACTACTTCGTTCCCTTTTCCTTTTTTCGTAGCAAGGAGGCATCGAACAGAATCAGATCATTGTTGAATGTAACATGACTACTTTTAGTCACACTTGGGCTACGAATTTGAACTGACATTTAGGTGCATATTAGAAAGGTGAAACCACACGGCACAATTATTAATTGATTATTTTGAAATCTGTCGAATAAAAACAAAAGGTTTTTGCAGAAGGGTGAAATTATGTGTGTACGGATATACAGACGTTAGATTCGCACACTGACTCGCTTTCATTTCCTGGAGACTCACCTATAACCACATGTATCTAACCCTTATACCAAAAACCTGGATCAAATCATACTCCTAAAATCTGGAGGCTTTTCTGATAAGAAACAGCGAAATGTTAGGCAGAATAAACAGATGTAAATACAACTATACCCACATACACAAAGCTGTCACTGTACACTTTAGCAGGCACAGTACAGCCTGCTATCACCTCTCTCTGGGTTACATATAACTCCTCATCAGGTTGCTAGCCCTGCACTAGGAGGGAGGAACAGACTAGATTGATGCTATTTGTCTTCTTACACATGCTAAAATAGAGGTCACATCTTACTGATGTAAGACAAGCGAGACAAAACACCTTCTCCCTCTCTCTCTTTCTCTCTTCAGAGCTTTTGTTCAGTCCTGCAGTGAGAGAGAAGTCACAAATCAAGCAGTTTGAGCGCCTGACCTCATTTCAAATATGAAGATACAGACTCATTTATAGCTGCGAACAGACAGATGGACTGGCAGACAGATGGACAGGCCAATATTTATTTTAAAGTGGATATTTTAGACCTGATGAAGCATATGGTGGTGTGAGCACACAGAGTGGTCCTCCTTTAATCGTATTTAATGTTATGAATGCTGTTTGCAGCAGAGATATTAAACAGGTACGTAGGCACGTGGAACTACTTTCTTGTGACACAAAAATCACCAAAGAAATTCCATTATCTCAGTCATTAGAGGGATTAAGCGAACACAAACACATGTGTGATGTGTGAAGGAAAGCATTTAACAAAGCAGTCCTTGGCTTTGCATAAGCAGATGGCTCTCTTTAAGACCCATCACATAATCGACCTCCCCGTTCCTGGAAGCCAGTAGGCTCTGCTAGCTGTCAGGGAAAATAACCATAACGCTGTTGTCAGTCTAGCCGATCAGCTTGCCTGATGGAAGTGAAGTCCCTTTCAGGGCAACAGCAGCCCCTGGTATGGTAATGCCATGTAGGCCACATCCCTTTTCCTTGCATGTTCCCCATACTTGACATTTGATGTTTTCTGTAGCTATGTGTCCTTCTGAAGGCCTGGGGACAGTTGTGGCTCTTGGATACCTGATGTCACTCTTCCGCATGGTTTGTCAGTCAGCTCTGACAGTGCTATGTTTGTCAAATCGGACTAAGAACGAAAGGAAGGATTAAGCACGATTAAAATAATGTCTTTTCTTTTTGGACTTTGAATGAGAATCTCAAAAAAACACTTCACATGTTTTGTGTTTATGCCAGAGCTTTTAACGCTAATTCACAGTGACATTCTGTATCTTTACATTTCTTTTATATCCCATGTGTGTGGATGTATTAAAAATACAAAATCCATTCCTGATAAACTGAAAGAAATCCATTATTTTTCCTGCCACTATTTACATGCCCAGATAAAGACACTCTATAAAGTACCTTTCTGTGTAAATATGAGTGCCCTGCATAATGTAGGGAGCCAGCACATCTTTAAGTAGGAAAATGACAGCTCATTAAAGGTCTGACGTGAGGGTTCACCACTTGCGAAGCCCACTCTCAAACCATTCAGAGGTGTGGAGCACTGATAGGGACCCTCCACACAGCTCTCCAAAGGATGATGACATGTCAGGGAGTGAAAAGAAAAAGGCTAAGGGTAGTGCAGAGAGGTGCAGGTCATTCTCTGTGATGGGAGCATCTTCTGAAGTGTTACCTGGTTTCAGCTCGATCATGGAATCTTTGTTGATTTGCAATGTGACCGAATTTGCTGAAATGCGAGCGCACGTGTCTAACAAGCAGAATGGCACCCAGATTTATTATTTTAGTCACTCTAACATTGATTTTTCTATGCACCTCT